GTTTGGTGATATTTCGTTTTCTTATCACTAAATCACGGCCAGTGCAAGACTTTGACCTAAATATAGAAAATTATGTCATAGCTGAAATGAGTCTAATTAGTAGATCCCAAGAGAACTTCTTCATTCATCTACAAAACATGACTGAAAACTACTTTAACAGGTCGGGTGTATCTTTTTTCATCCTCTTTTGATTATTCTCACCATGTAAACTATCGAGAAGAAACTAAGTGGAACAAACAAGGAACGACTGAGATAATGTGCCCGTTTTTTTTTTTAAATATATAGTGAAATAAATTGTTAGTTGAGTTAATCAATTCTTCAACATCTGAAACCTGTTCCAAACTGGATAACAAGTCTCCTGTGCTAAATCAATTGAATTTTTGCTCGTCGATGAAGTTTGTATTTCTGAGACACTGATACAGAATCTAAGCGAATTTGCTCATTGGGGCATCACTTCATCAGTGTGATGAATCTGTAAAACTCACCTTACAGCTGGCTGGAAGTTTAACCGCTTGTTTCAATGGACTCTCTGGTTTCGATGTAGCATTATTTTTTATCAAATACATGGTGCCTTCTGGTGGATATCAGTTGATGAGTTTTATTAAAAGCTTTCTGGCATTCCTGAAAAAGTTAAATGTTTAGATATAGTCACACGGATGAGTGACTAAAAATGGTCAAGTGAGAAGCCTGAGCCAATAAGAGAGGCTTGTTGGAGTATCCATAGAATTATATGACAAAAAACTGATGGCAATCATCCAGTTCTATAGTATCGTTGGAGCATTTTTTGCCCAGAGCTAACTTCATAGTACATTGATTAGTCATTGGAGAGCAGCCAATCTCATGTTGTCGAGTCCTAAGTGGTGACCAAATTCTGTTGGTCACTTTACGATGTGGTCACCAAGCTGTGAGTCTAAGCATCTAAATGCCCTTCATTATTAGTTAGAGGCAATTGGTTAGAAGCCCTAAGCCCATGTTTCGTGCTTACTGCCACTCGTAAGCAAGGCGTATCTGCAACCGCAAGGTAAGAAGTGTCCCGTTTGAGACGAAAACTCACGTCATCCAGTGTTGTAGTCAGTGACCCTACCATTGAGCTATTCGGGCAGTGATTATCCTCCTTTGGGACTAAATTAGGTACACTGATTGGTTACTAGAGAGCGACCAGTTCTATGCTGTCACGTCCTAAGTGCTGATCAGGTTCTATCGATAATTTTGTCATATGACCACCAAGCTAAAGGCTTCTCCACCATGGGGTATTTGATTGTCTTAGTTCGCGTCTGCTCTCTCCATGCTTCAAGCCAACGGAGGATACTCAGACGTCGTATAACTTTGAGTCATTAGTGAAAGAAATTGATTAAAGATTGTTGTTTCTTTTTGAGGCACTTACTTGAACTCAGCTTATGCCTTAGTCCGTGCACGTATGTTTGCGCTTTAATGGATTCAGGAAACTGACAGTTGTAAAGCCCTTTTGTTGGGCAAAAGACAAGAACATCAGAGTTGTCTTAAGACAGGTGGTAGCTAATCATTTAACTGAATAAAGCAGCAATTCCCATTATGATGAAGTCTTATGTATTTTTCAGTTTGCTTTAGAAGTAGATGGAAAACACTTAGTACAATATTATCAACATCAGTAAATCTTAGTGAATCTCTCAAACCTTAGCCGAACCGATTGGTGTTAGAAGACTCATTCCAATTAGCTCTCATTATGATGAGGAATGAAACTAACTATTACATCAACTGACTAAGAATCTTCACCATGACTTCAAGAGGTGGTGAGCGAAAAAAGCTAATGAAATGGAGAAGGCATCAGCATCAATTATTACTCGGCAAATATTTCGGCTTGTTGGGAAAAATGATACAAAAAAGACGATGACCAGTTAGACCATCACGGAAAAGGATGAGTACTTAATGACTTCTCAGAACAGGCAGTTAGAATATCGATTGGAACACCTCAAGAAAAAGTTCAGTTTACCTATAGCCATGCTATAGTTGCCTGATACCCAGGCCAATCTTGGATGGGATGTTGATGTTTATCCTCCATCTTTTCGCAAAGAGAAGGCTGTTTCCAACCGTAAACGATGTAAAGCAGAAGAGATTGATAGTTTTATATCAGAAATTTTCACAGATGGAGACAGAAAATCATTTATGAAAGTGACTAAGATACTAACTATTGTATCGGAATCCGAGGTTTGATTGAGGTCGTTGGTCATTTCAGTTTACTAGATAGGAATACAGTCTTCGTGTAACAACGGAAGGCGAACAAGTCTGATTAATATCGTATCTAAGATTTGAAGATCCATAGTTATCCACCGCTTCGATGAGCAACGTTGACTGAAGTAGGATCAGGTAAAAAGAAAGCTAAGGCCGGTCAAAGCAGGGTGTGGTACCAGCCCATGTAGTCTCTCATTTCTAATCTGCCTGGCTAGTCTTGGAGATTTGAAAAATCAGTAGTTGAAGATTCGTGTTGAAATGTCTGAAAATCATCCTAATGGTGAAAATGTATAAGGTCCTTGTGGTCCTCGAAGTTTGAAATATTCTTACTAATCTCAGTTTATTTCCTCTATCTCGTCTGAAACGCTATTGTTTACCTTAATGTCATTCGTTTTTCGTGCACTTCCTTGCATAATACTGTAATGTAATTAGTTGAGCTGATGTATTTGCACTTTAAATTCTACAAATTTTTGTCTGTCAGTCTTTTGAGGGTAGACAGATGTCGACTATGTTCACTGTAATTCGACCATCAGTCCTGGTTAGTTTTACGTTTCATTTCAGATATTTATAGTATGTTGTTTAAGTGTGTACACTTAGTGTGTATTTACTAAGGTATAGTGTAATTCAATAGAATTTCAGGTTAGTGGAATTGTTGTATTTCAAAGTAATGATCAATGCATCAGTGTAAAATATAGTTATTCAAACATACTGATACAACATAACATTTTCTCAAAAAAAACATTTCTCTGAGGTACTTATTCTAGTAGCTATGTGTTCGATGACATACAGTGATGGAGTAGGCTTCTGGTCTCTTGACAAAATTTACTAGAAATTAAAAACAACGTATTCATAGACTGTACCACATACAGGTAGTATGCTCAAAAACATTATCCAACTCACCTTTTGAATATACAACACTCATTTCATCAAATCGATTAAGAGGATCGCTAATAAAGTATATACACATGCGTGAGAAATTATAGATCCTTAATTTTACATTGATATTATGCGTTCAGAAGAGTACTTGAAACCTCTATACACACTGTTTTCATAATAAAGAGATCCTTTTTATGTTACTATGTTCCACTTTTTGTTGTTTCCCGCTGCTATACAGCGTCGAACTGGTCAACCTTTGTTGGTAGATTAGCTTCTATGCGGATGCCTCGATGCTGGTGAGTAGTTATGGAGCTGTATTCATCTTGATGTCTAGAAGTGGAATTCAGGATAGCGCTTTGGCATTTGAAATGATAGATGCTGGGTCCAAATCTCAGCGGGAACAACACTCACTAGGGAACAGGTACACACACCTGACTACTCGACCGACACGTTGAAACGCACATCCCGAACTCCACTAGTAGTAACTAAGATGGATACAGTATTTCACTTTTAATCTTGATGTTCATTTTCTCATTCTAATCTTTTTTTGCGTGACTAAACATCAAATCCTCAGATTTTCATCTATACTAAATATTTGAAAGTTAGTCCCTTTTATGAATTTCGATAGCGTAATTAGAAGACGAAGTTTACCTGAGCAATGTGATGTATTTGCGCAATACATTTCAAACAATCTGACCACACATTTACTTGTCAAGTCAATATATATTAAACCGAGAACTGGGAGGGGGGATAAATACAACAATTAACACAATAGGGGATCAAAATTAAGAAAGATGGGGACAAACAGGAGGTGACATAGTTGATCCTAATCTTGGTAAGAAAACAAAGTTTATCAAGGTAGGTGTGGTGTAATAATAAACTGTTTTTGTACACATAAAGGTGGTTTAAATTTGTGTATGGCTATTTCTTCCGCAAATCTAAGAATACGTCCTTGACTGTTTCTATATAAAACTTTGAAAGCTGTTTGAACATTAACTTTGTGACCTGTTTCTATGATATGTTTAGCCATATATGAAGAGGGTCGTCTCCCACCAGCGTTTATCACTGTTTCACACTCCATTTGTTTTTGAAGCCATTTAGGCACATGTTCTTTGACCCTCAACTACATAACTCGTCTACTCCTCCCTATGTATGTGTGACCACCCATACATGTAAATTGGTAAACACAATGGGATGTGACGTAATCACCGATGCAGTGTTTAGGTTTTTGGTGAAGCATGTGTTTTGTTTTCTCCAAGATTAGGACCAACTATGTCACCTCCTGTTTGTCCCCATCTTTCTTAATTTTGATCCCCTATTGTGTTAATTGTTGTTTTTATCCCCCCTCCCAGTCCTCGGTTTAATATATATTGACTTGACAAGTAAATGCCTGATCAGATTGTTCGAAATGTATTGCGCAAATACATCACATTGCTCAGGTAAACTTCGTCTTCTAATTACGCTATACTAAACATACTTTTATTTCAAGTCTGAAATCAATCTAGAATATTCTGCTTTTCCTACTATGTATTTACAAACGTACAGTTAGAAAACCTAACCCGTTAGAAAACTTCCACAAACAATTCGTAAATTACTTAGTGACCGAGCGGCTTGCACTGATACACCTCATAATAAAAAGGACTCCTTAACACCCAGCAAAGCTACCTCAAGAAACTGTCCTGTTATGCGGCTCACCTCCGAGTTGAACTTGTTGTGGGTGCACAATTACTGAATTCTACTTCAGTTGAGCATGATATCTTTTCTGCATTTAGACAACTGTATTCTGATTTACAAAACCTGCTTCTTAGGTTGGGTAGTTTCAAAATATTCATATGTCTTAGGTCTTTGCTTTATACCTATATATTTATTTTGTAGATTCCATTAACTTCAAAATTGTTTTTTATTTTATCATGAAGTTTTCAGAAGACAATCAACTATCGAATCAATTAGAAAATATGAAACTTGAAAAAATTGATGAAAGTACTCTTCGTCCGTCTAGTCATGCATCATCAATGGTTTCAACTTCGGAAAATGACAGTTCGGAGGTAAATATTCGAAACATTTCACCAACAAGTAAAAATGAAATAAAAAATGAACGGAACAACAGTGTTTTATCACCACAAAACACGAATATCCCACAGAAAACTAATAGTGTTGCTAAATATGATGATAAACAAAAAGTTGAGAGTAAAAGAGATTCACAGCAAATCGATTTGAAAACTTCAGTATTAACACCGCGTAAACAAAAACGAATGAGTAATTCACTCAACTTCACCGCACGTGCAAAGATAGTTGATGAGTTGTAAACACGCAATATCTTTATTACAAGGGATATAATGAATCGTTAAGTTAAAGTTATCGATCGATTTCATAATTTTTATTTTATACACAACATATCCAGAGATATTATAAAATTTACGTTGTCCTTCATATTTATTACATTTTTTCTTTCTGCTTGTCTTTTTGGTATGAATAATATTCTAATTATTTGTATTTTAAAGATGGACCATAGTTGTGAATTTCTTTGATAACATTTCCATCGTTGAGTTTATTTGAGTATCTAGATACCAGTGCAGTCTCAGTTAAGGTCTAGATGGCGTAGTTACGCCTTAGAGCCGATGCAAGAAATGATCATCAGATAGGTAACGGTTGCAGTTGAAAGGTGCTCGCAAAGGGTGAGTGTCAACGTCATAACTCTCAAATAGCAAGATATCTTTCTAGCAATTCTAATAATTAGGAGGCCTAAATCACCGAAAGCAGAACCATTTGTCATTTTTCAGTCGCTTTTCCACTTATGACTTATACGGTCTTGGTGTTTTTTGATAAAATTTTCCGCGTTACGTCAGTAACCTCCAACAGCTGTGAGTGCCCTTCAACCTCAGGTGCTGGCAATCAAAGTGATACTACTATTATAACTGTTGACTAAAACTTACCAACTTCATTTTGGGATTCAAATCTCAAAACAAAAATGTAATTGCTTACAAAAGCGTGAATTTGACTCAATGATTGTCTCGATTACCAGCAAATCCACAGCCTTAAATACAGTGAACTCTAGTGAAGGCATCTTAATGCGAGTATTTACCTTTTCTAACTAGTATTTAAGTTTAAATCCCCACTTCTTTGTCATATAACTGATTATATATTAAAACAGAGAAGATTTAACGTTACTTTGAAAAACTCGCTTTTTTATGGCAGCTGCAATTTCAAACGAAGGTTTAGAGGTGAAGTTATGTAAACTTTTCACGAATTGATTTTATCCCGTGATCAGTTTGAATTCACCAAACCACACACTCTTTCGGCATAAATATGCTGGAAAATTATATTACGAGCATCTTGAACGTTAGTCTGAAAGTTACTGAGGCATATACTTAGTCATTTAATGTGTGTATTAGTTGAATATTAGCACTTATAGGTCGTAAAAGAGCATAATGAGATCTCTTATAGTAAACTTCGACTGTAGACACTACAGAGAGCAACGGATTAACAAATAATGCAAAGATTTAAAACGTTTTAAACATAAAAAGTATCATCAAAAATGAACTGGATTTTCATACATTTGGCATCGAAATTAAACTTTGGACAGCAGCTTGTTAATTTACTTGGTGTTATCCAGCAGTGGAATGCATGATGCGCGTTTTGTCCTACTGAGGACTCGTCGGCTGGATGTACCTACACCCCAGTGAGTGATTTTGTTTCTGCTTAGATTCAAACCCAGTACCTATCGCTTCAAACACCAAAGCGTTATCCACTAGGCTACTGGTGCACGACAGCCATATCTTGTAGCTTCCTAATCTTTTCAGATTAAACAAGTACCATAACTTTAACTCTCAGACAACAAAAAAGTGATCGACTAAGCAACCACCCCTCATTACATAGTTGCTAATTCTAGAATAAGTGCTAAACTAAGTGAGAAAATAACACCGACAGAAGTAAATGCTCATCAATGGTTTTATTTCGTCTTGTTCTCTAGAACGTTAAATCTATTACTGCTTGATACAAACGGTGAAGTTTAAGATGATGATTGATCCTTTTTTAATAAGTAAAAATGCATCAAGACTCAGCGTATGATAGTGGTTTGTTGCTCTGTCAGTGACAAATGATACTTCTTGCACCGGAAAAGGATGTCTTAAGTATTTTGTAAATTGATGATTTCATCGTTTCAGTGATGATTGTCGGGTTAATTTATCAGTAGTGCGATGTTACAACTAGCTGAAAAGTCTCAAGCAGGATGACATATGTATCTTAAGCTTCAAAATTAAGGAGAACCAAGTATACAATATGAATAATAACCAATAGGAATAGACCCTATTCTGACCTATGAAATCAACTAAGGTAGGGTAAAAAGTCATACTGAATATTATTCATTCTGCACTGTTGTGTTTTTATACTCAATAGGAAATGTCTTAATCATAAGAGATTATGTACAATGATCATTCTGAATGATCAACATCGATAAAAGCTTTGGAGAATAAACAAAACAGTGAATGACAGAAGTATAGATAACTAATGAAGTTAAACAGATAAACTACACTTTCCCCATTGGTCAACACTTGTTGCTTGTCCTAGGTATAACCACTAACTGATAAACCTAGTAAGATTTGTTTGCAAGTGTCTCCTCACTAAATGTAGCTTGTACTCTGTATACTACGTACAAAGACTATCCTGTTCACTTTTCGTTTGAATAAAAAATACAAGTAAAAGTGGATAGAAGTAGGAAAGTAGAATGATGTGAGCAAGAAAGATGGATACATAAAACAAAAAGACGCATGTAAAAACATTACTTTTCATCAGAACTATTCATTTTGAATACAAAAGAAAATACAGTTTAGAATTCACATTCATCAGAGTCCCATGAATATGTTTCAATGGATCCTTCTGGAAGGTCCACTTCTTTGTCATAAATGAAATCCGATTCTTTAGGCGGAACTCGATTCTGTGTAAATAAATTATCCATAACAGCTTTCTTCCTAAAATTTGGCAATCAAAAGTGAAAATATTTTAGTTTACAAAAGTGTTTAATTACAATGTGGGAGTGAGTTAACTAAAGTTGATAGAAGAGGTAAAGGTAGAAAGTTAATACAAAATATAATCCTTGTTCATCACCTATGCAAGGCTATTACCAGGATCATTCAAGGTTCGGAAATGTTTATTTCACGGTTGGGGTAAACAGACTAGCCTTAGTTAACAAGCACACGTATATGCATAGGGAAGAAAAGGTAGGGTAGTGATCGGATCTAACTCAGTAACTTGTATGCAGTTGAATTTCGGCCTGTATTACGAATCTGGACACAAACTTCACTTCTGAATTACTTGGGTTTCTAAATACAAATGGTAAAGTTTTAGACTCCTTAGCATAGTATCTTTTATTCAGATCTGGTCACAAATGCGCTGAACATATTGGAACATATCCTAATCTGGTCAAGTCATAAGTAACAAAACAATGCACTCAGATTCAGTTAGGTATCTTACATTCACAAGTGGGAGTTTGCTTATAAAGGATAGTTTCGTCTTCGCCCATTCAACGACGGAGGGATTTATAAATTCAGGTGTAGTGAGAAGCTGAAGAATACAGTCAAGATTTTATTATTTTCCACATATGACATAAAGACTAGTAAGCCTGACCAGATGTTCAGAACAAATAGTCACGCTTTTACACATAAAATGGTATGAAACAAAAATGGATTTTTCCACAAAAATCATTCACTTTTAGGAAGAAAGTTTTAGATACTTTTCAAATTTTCCTTTCACCTTTGGCAGAGCGTTGTCTGAGGACTAGGTCATAGTCACAATAGTTGGTCACACGTTTGAAATATCAGTGAGCATTTTAGCGTAACATACAAAAAACCAATCATTTGGTTAGCAAAGTTTCTTTTGAAACTCCCACAATCGGGACAAACCATGCAGGTGACACTTCAATCGACGACCTGGAAGCATCGGTGGATAAAATATCGGAGACATCTTGACCCATTTCTAATGTTCGCGCCTTAAAGGAGAAATTTGCATATTTGTATCGTTAGATAAAAGAGCTCCGTTACTCTGTTTAGCAGCTTCTACGAACTTAAAGTTGTAGGACACGACATACGATGCAAAACTCCCGTTACACCCGTTCAGTTCACATGGTTGGTTGACAGCTAAACTTCGGTTTGTCGAAAATCCTAAATAATGTGGTTTCAATAATATCAGTGAGGAAGCATTAATTTGTTGAAAACTGCGAACGCCCAAAAAAACCACACGTAGTTGTGAAATTACTGTTTGTTATGCATCACAGACGTGAAAACAAAAGTTTGCTATCTCGGCGTTTTTTCGCAGAAGCTGACGTTCTTCCCGTAACTACAAATGAGAATCGTCATGATCCATTCTTTGATCTGCAAGCAGTTAACGGAAAACTTATTGCGAAATTTGGTTTACACAAAATCTATTCACTGGATTTTACTCCTAGAGGATATCTCAGTGCCCATAACCGGCATAAATTTGCTGATTTATTAAGGTTTACTCGTAGATACCCATCGACGATAATTTGTAGATAACAACATGAAGCTACCCATTACCGGAACTCCTTGCGTAGGGGCGGGTTAACCCTTGAACGAAACGCTCAGTCGACTCCTTCTGTTAAAATTAAAGATATATATCCGGGGTTGTAACGACGGACGGATACTGTGAAATAGATGACAAAGAATTTTACTACAACACATTACGCCAACAGGTCTACCGGTGGTGTCCAAAGCATGGTGCTTAGCTTTCGATAAGTTAAGAGTCACGAAGAATGAATTCGACTATATTCTTGAGCTCAGCACTATCCAACCGTTATACAGCCTACATAAATCGCCACTGCATATGATGCCGAAAAAGAATAGCAATAATTGGCATCCAATTGGTGATTACCAACGGCTCGAAACCGAAACAATGCCAGAGTGCTACCCGATAACTTACGTCTACGATCTAGCCTCGACACTTTGCAGAACCAATATATTCTCCAAAACCAACCTTGTTAAAGCGTACAATCAGATACCAATATAGCAGCAGAGGATATCTCGAAAACAGCTATAACTACACCTTTTAGACTGCATGAACTGTTGCACATGCAATTTGGTCTTCGAAATGAAGCACGAACATTTCAACGCTTTATGAATGATGTTCCGTGGTTCGCATTTTGTCCACTTTTAAATCGATGACTATCTCATCGCAAGTCCAGATAAGGAAACTCATCTAAAGCACTTAGACCTAGCATTCGATAGGGTGCAGAAGCAAGGTATCAGTCAACATTCAGAAATGTAAAAGAAAAATTGAATGCCCCTATTTTCTTGAGCACACCAATGACAACAAAGGTAAACGTCTATTACCAAATAAAGTGGTCGCGGTGGCCATTTTAGACTACCCGGAAGTGAACGCTGCTAAGCAACTTCTGATAAATTATTACAGACGGTTTATCCCGCACTGTGCTTCTTTTAGGAGACCAATAACAGATATACTTCATGGAATTAAGAAGTGTGTGACTCTTTATATAGGCCAAACTTGCCTTCTTTAAGGTCAAGAAATTTATTTCAAACTCAGTCTAGTTCATTCATCACGACCCCTATACTATTTTGAGTATTGCTGTCAATGCATCTGACTTAATGATCGTGGTCACTGTGCGACAACTACTCGACGGCCAGTAGCAAGCACTAGTCTTTTCTTGAGGTAGCTGCAAGAAGCGTAAGCAAAGTACAGAGCATCTAGTAGAGAACCTTTTGGTATGTAGGTACCGCTGCACTAGTAAAGGTCATGATTTCATCATTTTTCACAGACTACAAACAACTAACCCCTCTTCACCCATCATCCGATAAGTAATTCTCCTGTGAGCCACATTACCCAGTTTACCTCGAATATCCATATCCATATCTTGAACATATAGCGTTATATATGACACCCAGTCTGCAATATCTTTGATAGAACGGTATGGAAGGTGGTGACCTCGTCATCAGGTCATCAAGTGATTCGAAAAGTTTGTGTAGTCGAGCGACATGGACGTTAAATTATTGTCGGCATAGACCGTTTGAAATCAACACTTATTTTGGGGATTAAGCCATCGTGAGTGATGTCCCACACAACAGCATACAGGTAAAAGATCGGATTATCAAACTTCTAGACAACCCACCTAGAAATACAGATGCACGGATTTATGCAGGATAGCGAAAAGTATGTTCAGGTCGAACAGTCAGATTCCCGGGACATTTAAAACATACTCAGTTGGCTAGTGTGTGTAAATATGTACCATTTTATTTTTTCCTCGTTGCACCGTTTTTAGTGAGGTCGCATGTCAAGTTGTGTTGCTCGTACACTGTAACTTAGCCAGTCACTTCAAACATATCAGTATATTGGCGAAATTTATCAAATATATGATTCCCATCCAACTACGCTATCGAATCGCTTCTTGGTCTCGCACTAGTGAGTATTCAACAAGCACGAAGGATTACCGATTAACCTCTGCGTCTGGCATGATTGCATGAGGAGTATTTCTGAAGCGGTTTTTCCCTCCCATATTAAGTCGCTTGGTTTTTGAGCAATATCGTCATTAAACTATAGGGAATCGATAAAATCCAAAGAATGTACAATTTATTTCAGTATTTAGGGTTACAATACGCAAATGGAGAATAGCATCGTAAAGGAATTTTGGTGCACACCTTAGTAGGAATCTACCAGCAGTTGTCTCATTGAAGCTTATACACCAACAAGCGGGAAAATATGGAAAGTGGAACTTCATGATAAAATGTGAGATGAAACCCAGGAATTTAATCTATGTACACACGACAAATAAGTGCCTGGCCGATAAAAGAAATACATTTCCATACTCAAGCGAAAAGTGGGTCCAGGTCGGAGGAAACAGTAAATCACAGGAGACTGTCAATATGCTAGCGATTTAAATTATCATACCTTTTTGTTGATAAAATTGTAATTTTTCGTTGTTTTACTAGATTGAATTGTTCGATCTCTGTTGGCATATGCTCTCCTATGCAGACGCCTCTATATTGCCTGAATACTCACTACGGTAATTTACCTGGTTGTACAAGGGGTGGCTATCGTGCCTCAGTGGCTTAGTAGATAACGCTTTTGAGTTGGGAGCGATGAGCACGGGGCTCGAGTCTCAGTGGAGGCAACACCATTTACTGGAGTGCAAGTACATCCAGCTGACGAGTCCCAAAAAGTACGAAATGCGCGTCTTCGATCCTTCTGCTAGCCACAATCAAGCAAATTACCGTAATAGTAAATTACCTCATTATCTCTTAGGTATAATTTGCAATAAAGTAAAAGGCTTCTAAACCTAGTTAACTTCGGTTGCTGTCATCATTCTCTTGCAAATAGCATGCCAATAGCTTTTGATTTATCATCCCAACATCTGAATGTTGTAGAAAGCTGAAAAACCAAAACTCTTAAAAGTATTGAGTTTAGAAGTGATTGACAAAACATATATAGAAACACAACTCAACTACACCTTTAGACCTAAACATTTTATGGTATGCTTTTTTTGATGGAATACAAGGACAGTTTATGATATTTGTTTTTCAACAAAACCTAACACCCTCTAGAAAGACCTCAAATAGCAGTTATCCAAATAAATGAAATAAGTAGTGCCGATAAACAGAAAGATGTAGAGACTTCTGAATACAGTTAGTGCATCAAAGTTATCGACATGCGAAACTACCCAGTAGGTGAAAAATACAGCGCTTTTTCTACATATTTACGACTTTTACTATATTTTGAATACAGAAAGTTTTAATCAACCTCTAGATACAACATTTAAAAGACTAGAAGTACTAAATATTTCACTGAAAGAAATTGCAGTTCGAGTTGCACGCCGTACAAAGACTTTTATTAAGTCATACAGACAAATCAAATTGGAACCTAGCGTAGAAGGGCATTGGCTCAAACTGCCACGCTTCGCAGAAACACGCCCAAAAAAGTAGATAGGAAAAAAGTGATAGTAAAGTTAACAGCAGTGTTTGGTTGAGAGGATCACTTAGTGATGTTTAGGCTTTAGAAGACATCTGGGAGTAAATATATATTAGCTCTGATGAACTCATGGTTAATGAATTTGCGGTTTTTATACTTTCTGGACGTTTACTAACCGATTTCATCTATAGCCTTGGTTCAATATCTGAATATCAATTAAAAATAGATCAGACTCCACAGCAGTTTACTTGGACATACTCTCTGGCTGCCAGAAAACAACTGGTAAAGTTGGTATAGAGAGGTAATCTGGTGGTACATGGTGTTTGAGTTTACATATACTCGACCATACATCCTCAAAGGAATAACCACTTGTATAAGAAAGGGAAAGAAATGTTAGACAGACAGTGAAACCAACGTAGGAACTCACACAGAACTGCATCAGTTCAAGCTGTCGAACCTTACAGTAGCATCCAGAAGACAATTTGACAGAGAAACACTGATACCAAAGCAGACAAAGGCTGTATAGAAGATAACGGTTGAAGAAAAGGTTAGTGAAAGTGCCCAAACTTTAGACATTGGAAAGAAGACAACAGTGAGTGAAACCATCAACGAAAGTGATGGAGTGCTTATAACCCTCCAGGATGTGCAGCTAGAACGTTGGGTAGAACACTTTGGAGCACAGTTCAACTGGCCGACAGCTACGCTTCACTTCCCCAACATCCAGTATGAACCTGAATGGGACGCAGATGTCGATTTTTCAACTCTCCTTGGAATTAAGAAAGCTGTATCAAACCTGAAGCGATTCAAGGCAGCAGGATCTGACAGTTTGCCGCCTGAAGTTTTCAAAGATGGAGATAGCAAATTACTGCTTAAAGTGACGGAGGTACCGTGTAGTGTATGGGTATCAGAGGTAGTGCCGTCTATTGTGACAACCATAGAGGAATTAGTTTGACTAATAGTGTCCAAGATTCTAGGGTTCATAGTTATCCGACGCCTAACTCAAGCTCAAGAACAACAAACTGGAGAAAACCAGGCAAATTTCTGACCTGGACAAGGGCGCATAGATTAGATATTCACCCTGTGACAAGTTCTGGAACATAGACATATCTGCCGGCCAACGGCCGACACATGGCTTATTTATTGACCTGAAGGCAGCATTTGACTCAGTTGACCATGAGGTGTTGTGGTAGTGTCTGAATGAATAGAGTACCGAACAAGTATATAACGCTAGTCAAAGCTTTCTACTCAAACTCACGCAGCTGCGTCAGGGCTTATAGAAAGTTATCACATGAATTGACGACAGCTAGTGGTATGCGCCAGGGATTTCTACTATCACTATTCCTGTTTAACTTCATCATAGACGTACTAATGGACCTAACCTCATGTATGTCTGACTTCATACATTGACCTACTCCCCGGAGGTCATCCGATTGACTTGGAGTTTGCAGACGATATTCTCCTGCTACGTGAAGACACAAAATGCAGGGTCATCTGAACGATTTCAGCAGAAATCTGAGTATGGTTGGTACGCGCTTCGAATCTATCGAATGTAAGATGATGCTTGAACACTAATCAGCAACGACTCCCAGCTTAATGATAGGCAGTAAAGTTGTAAAATGCATCGACCACTTCACCTACTTAGGGAGTTGCATCAGCCCGAATAGGTCAGTTGGTAACAAAATCTCTGTTAAGATGCAGAAAGCCTGTTTGGCATTTGCCAACGTGCGTCATGTGTAGCACCAACTGGCAAGATATCCGACTGTCGATCAAAAAACTACCATACTGAGCTAAAGTTTGTTTTGTCCTCTTACACGGCTGCAAGACATGGCCTTTAAAAGTAGAAGACACGAAACGATCACTGATTTTTGATCATAGATGTCTTCGCAGTATGGCTCGCATTCGGTGAAATCACTGTGTGTGCAATGTCGAGCTCAGATGAAGGGTACAAAGCAAGACAAGCCAGCCGATTGATGAGGTTGTGAACCTTATTTGACTGAGATGAACTGGACATGTACTGCGCATCCCAAGCTACCAGCTGCCTCAACGTGCCATGCTAGTGCAAGTTGGAAGAAGGTTGAGGGTGGCTTGAACAAGACGTGGCATTAGTCAATGAAGTCTCACACCGTTGACCTGGGCCGTGCGGAGAGATTTAAAGTGCCAGGTTGGGGTCCCTGAGACGAAAGGAATCAGTGGTTAAGGACTCTTGGTGACGGCTGAAAATCGGACGCAGTGGCGCAAATGTATTCACTACTTAGCATCCTCTAAGGCCTGAATATTTACGCTAACCGTTGTTTTGAGATTATTTATTCTCTTACACTAGTTTATCTACTTTGAGATCACTACCTTTTAACCCACCTGTACTTTGTGTACTACTACGAATTGTGTAAACTTAAACCGATGCATCTGTGTGCGATGTTCTACGTTTTGTTAGTCAGTCAGGCGATATCAAAGAGTGAATACACCTACACGATTGTAATCGATTTCAAGCTATATCACCAAGATTTTCCAGACACTGATTGTCATCGCCTCATGGACCTCCGCCAGGTAGTCCGCACCTCCATACACGATTAAATCTATGAAAGACTTTTTGACGGGTACTTAGTCTTGGTTTGCCCACCATTTGCCCTTTCTCAACCCTCTTTTAATTTGATTAACACCGCAAGTCGAATCACACTAGTGACTCAGAATGCGTCATACATTTACAAGCCTTCACGTTTAGTGAAGGTTCAGAATGAAACTCAAAAAGAGCAGACGATTTAGCAGCTCAGAATACAAGAATTCTGAGAAAAAAAAATTAATATTTCAAAACTCTCTGATCCTACTGTATTAACATACTGCAAGTTAAGTATTCTTAAGTGTTTCGAGATAATGGGGAATATTAGTAGCTCTGAAGTTTGTGCTGATGCTGTCTAGAATGAGAATGAAAGCTCCATGATGAAATCATCCAGTCCAGAGAACACAACGCTAGCAAAATTCTTAACTGTCTCGAAGATAGATAACACAAATGTTGGGCTAAATAAAAGCCAGATTACACGGTAACTGGGAACTACTTTTCTAACCGTGGTTTGCTTTTAAACCTAAAATCTTATTTTTGAAACGGATCACACTAAGTGAGAATGGGTGTAATACTCTTTCTCATTACATACGAACCGAGTAATGGTATTCATTAACCGTACACATGTTTACACATAAGACTGTGAGACATGTGTAGCCTGTAGGAAGGTAAGATACTCTTCAGAAAACCACAACGAAGCAAAGTCAGTTTCGCCTAACCATTTACTTAATTGTTGGCACTTAAGTACCGATACGCCCTCCACTGGTTCAAGATCGTCACGCTTAACCAAATTTGTATGAGGCTTCATGTACGGAAATCACCAACCAGGTAGCTTGACCATCGAATACACCAAACAGAGACCTTACTGTGCACCTGTTTATGTGTATTGTTTATTCTATCGAATTCAAACCATTTAAACTAACCGCATATCACAACTTCAAGCCTGAGTAATGCATGTTTCTTCCTACTTCGTTCAAAAACGTTTTAACGTGTGATATATTTGGGATCGAAAAGCACATAGAGTTCAACAAAATGCCAGTTTTATCAATAAAGGCAGACTTCAGTTTCTTACCACTTCGACTAGTTACTGAGAAGTCTAAATCACCTATTTAGTAAAAGGGCTTAAAAGGAAAGAAAGGTACAAGCTGTAGTTTGAGGTCATTGAGTAATAACTAAGGAAGTTAGTATCACAACACTACGCTGTACAACAGCTAACTGGGTATTCACAGAAGCCTAACAGACAACCTCATTTTAAAACCACATGTAAAGTATTGTCTCCACTGTTTATCAATGCACAACATGAATTTTAAATCATTTCACTTTTTGAAAGTTAGGATATTTATGAGGCACCAATAGTGAATATTTTGTGCGACGTTTGCAAGAGCTGGGAACTTTCACCTCGGGAATAAGTGACGAGAGTAAGTTTTTCCCGACCTTCTGTTCGTTCACTCTTATAAAATAGGGGATAGATTATTAAACGTTAAGCCATTTATTCTGACTCCACAGGTCCTTGGAATTGAAACAATGATTCTTCATTTACGAGGCAAACTGGATTTATGAAATGAGCCTTTTATTTCTACACAACGAAAAGTCAGCGTGATTAAGATTACAGAAAATATGATTCAAGGTCCTGTGAACAAATAACCTACTTATAAACTGCGTTATATACGTTATATGTATGCTGTTTTGCATCACAAGTGCATATGCTAGACAAACTTCGCGTTCTAAATGAAATTTAACTAACAAACCAATTTAACCAAATATATATTTGATTACACTGGTTTGTGAGTTGAATTTTCCAAAGTGGATACATCCACTTAAGTAATAGCTACTTAAGTAGCTTAACCCCACTTATGATAGAATTCCATCGTAAGTGTCTGCAACTGAAACTCAAATAAGCTCTTCTTCTATGACATTTGGGAATAAAGCCACTTTAGTGTGTGAATTTGTCTTAGAAATGGCAACTGGAGTTACTTCCTACAGACCTATTTTGTGCACACGAAATCTTTACTGTTCTTCAAAAACCCCGAGCTTTAAAACTTTCCTCAGGAATACGGAACTGGCATAGTATGATATTCAACCGCCAAAATCCGCTGACGTACCCTTCTAAGCCATTGTCATCAACACCATTGATTTCGACATGAAGAGCTTCATCACCAATAATAGAATCTAATTCTTTGCTACGTTCCAAAGCATCCGTAAGAGTCATTCCACTGCATACGTTTTTCAGAATCGATAATAATCTGAGAACCTGTGCCTTCGGAATCAGATTTACGAACTGACTGTGATGTTCATCGGCTAGGAGTTCAGCATATGTTTCCACTACACTTAAACTATCCAACTGTGGGATATGAATGCTTCTTTTCCTTGTTTTAAGACCCTCTCCATAGATTAAGACTAAAGACTTCTGATTCACACTGATGCCACACCGTTTCATTGTAACACCAGAAATCATTTTTAAAATCCCACAGAGATAGTCTCCTGGCTTTCAAAATTTAAAACAATTTGGATGACGAAAAACTCCTAACACTCAACATCTGTAGTGCGGACAGAGTTTTTTAGCTGTAGTTTTTTAGCTCTTACTCGTTTGTCTAGATTCCCGGTTCCAATATCCAATATTGATAGTGCGAGCGTAGAAAACTGGTAGTTTTTGATCTCTCGCGTCTAGTTCTTAGGGCTTGGTTCCAGTTGTTCGGTTTACTCCTGCAGTGGACGAGGAAATACCCTCTGCTTTCTTGCTTTTAGCTTCGGTGAGGTGGATGTTTTGTGGGTTAGTAGGTTGTAATTTGTAGAGTGATTAGGGAGCTACGGGTTGCTGGGAAGTTTAGAGAACTGCCATGACTCCTGTCTGTGTAGGTACCTGAAAGAGAATAGTAAGGTAGTGGTAAAGGAATGAAGAGAGAATAAAGAAGAGAGTGAAGTAGCACCATAGAGACTCTGGGAGCTGGGTTAAGGCCGTATCGCTAACCATCCTTGCCTTTAAACAGGAGTTTACGTAGATAGCCACTCCCCCTCCTGCTCTATGTTCCCTGTCCCTGCGGAAGAGTTCCATGCCAGCAACACGCATCTCTTCGTCGGAGATGTCCGATGAGAGCCAGGATTCGGTGATGAATATGATGTCGTAGTGCTGATGTTCACGCAGCGTCCTCATTTTGCTACCTTCCCTCTTAGCCCCCTAACGTTGCTGTACATACATATTAGAGTGTGCCTGATGAGAGGGGAGGTCTGGATGTGTATTTTCGGGATGAGCGCTTACGTGGTTGATTTAGCCTCGCCAGTCCTCATAGGACTGGCATTGTTCCGTTTTTTTGTGTTTTGTTCTTAACTTGGGTGGGGGCTGTAGCAGTGGTGGCTTCTTTACTTGATGTATCTAACTCACTGGTCAGCGCCTGTGTGACGACCACTGACTCCAGAGGTCTTGGTGGTTGCCGTCTCTCCTCTTGCCTTGTGGGTCTAGGCTTACTTTCACATATACGTATTGAGCCACCCATGCGATCTTTCGCATTATACCATGCGTGCAGAACGTCTGTGAGGGAGGCATATGAGTCGAACTGGACGGCAAGTAGTCTGGGATTGGGTATGGTCTTCAGGTGCGCTGGCCTTGGCAGTCTACTGACGCTGTTGGCCGGTATACTGTTGAGACCAACTTTGGTTGAGAGCCATTGCCATTGTTGGACGTCGTGAAAGTACCGATCTTTGACCGAGCTGTCACTTGGCAATTCTGGAATCCCATGTACAACTATAGTGTTGTTTCTGTTGGGATTTCCAACCGCTGACTTTCTCTCCTCCTCTCTTATTGACCATGGCTTGTCAGGCCTGGCCCGAATTTTACAGGCATTAACAACGTCCGGTTGTCGCGAGAGAAGGAGTGTGTCTTCAGCCTCTTTGGCGGTATTTAGGGACACACGTAAAGGGGGTGGCTTATCTCGGGGTGCATGGCTTCCTCGAGAAAGGCGACACAAAGTTGCAGGGAGGGGAGGGAGTCCCAGCATCTGACAGTAGTCGGTCCACATTCGGCTGTCAAATTGTTCCCTCTCGACCAACAATGAGTCTGTCGATACATCGACGTTGAACAAAATGATCGAGTTGGTCCTCCTGTGACCTGGGTTCGTTGTGGGTGGCACGCCCGACTTCCCAATGGGTTTGAGTAATTCCACTGGTTGTTTCTCAGTCACGGTGTGTGGGGTGTTCGGAATGGGTTTCGTAGAGGCTTCGATGTCTTTGGCCATGCGCTTGACGTCCCCTGGGGCCGGGTAGGGGGTATGGAGACTTGACCTAATATGGTCCCCACGCGAGGTGGCGTGCCCACAGCTGGAGCTCTAGGTCTGTTTCCAGGTCTCTCTGTGTTATCCTTTGGTGTTAACCCTACTTTATTCGAGGATGCTGGTAGCTTTTGCGTGGCGGAGAGCATCTCCTTCAGGCTTTCTGTGCGGAGTGCGGGCATTTTCCTGCACTCTGGACAGATGTACCAGAACCACTTGCATGGTTGTCTCTTCATCAGCTTATAGTATTGTCGGGGGACTTTGGTATCGCAGTGGCAATGCCCATCGTTGACACAGGTTGCATGCAAATGCCTCATCGACTACCGAAACAACTTTGGTGCAAACACTGCAGCCATCGGGTGTCGTAATACAGCCTTCCTTCCATGAATAAGGTGCTACGGATTGTGGCGAACTGCTTGTGGCTGCCTTGTTCTGAAGCCTTTTACGTCGTCTTCTATTTCAGGCATGGTATGATCCTTGCTCAAGATAGGACTAGTTTGTGACGGGCTAGTGCTACTCTGTGTCACCTGTCTGATGGCGACTGGAATTCTAGAAACATGGGTTGGCCACTTCTTTAGAAGTTCGGTGTTCTGCCCTACCTCTGTTTGTCTTCTAGTACAGACTAGTGTGTTGTTTAGGGTGTTACTGGCCGTTTTGTGCACGACCGCGTTATCCGTGTCAAAGCTTCAGACCTAGCGTTTTGGGCAGACATGTCGCTATGATATAAACTTCTTGGGAAAACAAGTAGTTAACAACAATAAGAGGGTTGAAGACTGAATGCAGCAAAAGGACAGAATAGAAAAGGGAAGATAATTTATGTTGGCTCACCTTCAGACACTTGTCACTTGATCCTCTGCTCTTGACCAACGAGTTTAACCGTAAGCTCCAGATGCGTATGTATAACCAGGAAAGATATTTCCTGGGGAATGACCTCCGAGGAGAACCGAGAGCTAAGGCAGTTTGGCAGTTGAAACGCCCAAGAACCACTGACAGGAGGTAGACCGGTTGGTTCAAAGGAATAATAATGCCAATTTTCAACTGTTGAGGAGTGAGCTGACGAATGCGCAGGGGTGAGGTGCGTGGACGGACAGAAGTGCTGCAAACGTTCGATGTTTTTAGATTGAGTATTGCAAGTGGGAGTTTTTCATTGTGGAAAAATCCAAAAGCTGAGAGACGAGCGAAACACGTTACTACTCAAGGAGCACGCCAACCCTTTTGGTTTCTTACATTCCTTCGGTCGTTGCTGAAGCCTTCATATTTTACCTGCTTATAGCTTTCGGGGTAGTGATTATCTGTGTAAAGGTATTTATCGCAACCGTAGCTTGGTTTGTTTGATGAAGAAACCGAGCTGCTGATAAAGTCAAGTGACCTTTTCCAATTCCTGTTTCTGCAAGCACCTGCAAGTAAACACTGACCGTTATTTAAAAAGTAGTGGTAGAAATAATGCAAGTGTGGAGTGAGAAAAGAGGACTGGAAGATTTTTATGGAGAAGTAAGTGTTACTGGTAATAATATGGGGAAGGGGTGGGTCTTGTCGCAGATCCTCGGGTTGGCGAACACGGAGATGGATGGGCATGCTTTGACTTACTAGAGGGGAGTGTCTATGGGAAGCAGTTTGGCTTTGCATTCCTATGTAGGGGTCAAATAATGTGGCCGTGGCTACTTTCTTCGTCAGGGGGTTTCACCAGCCGCACGCTATGTGAGAAGAAGTTAAGTCCCAATCTCGTCTTGCACAACGGTTGGGCATACTAGTGGAATCCCCTAAATACTGCCGGTTATGCGCTGATAATGTCGACCTGTTGGGGTGGTGCACTGGAAGGACGATCCTGTAAGCCACTATTGGGTGGCAACTCTTACTTTGATAGCCTAACGTGAAGAATTTGAGTTTTCTAAGGCACTGTGAACATAGTTTCCCTCTTAGTCCGACAACCGACCTTGTCGTCAAACTCTATGCCTTCTCGAAAGTTCTGCTATCTCTATTTAGTAGAAGGGAACTATTGTCTGAAATACCTCTGTGCATGGTCTAACACAGGCCCTAAATGGTGTTAAGAATAATTCCAAGGTTAGCGCTACAGCTGGTTTTTGGAAGGTAGATGACGGTATTCACCCTTCCCACCATTCCCTTACAGCCGGCACTAGCATTCGGTGTGTCAGAAAAGTTCATTCTTTGATCCCCCTCTGCGGATACCCTGGTGATTGCACAACTATTGTGGGTGTAGCTAGTCTTCATTGGCTCCAGTGAGCAAGAATACAACACGTGGCACCCCTCCAGATTAAGGCTCAAACCATTCGTGGCTGTTCTGGACTTCAGCTGCAATCGGCCGTTTTGGAGTATCATGGGACACTCTTCCCCGCCTATTCATGTTTTCAGCAAACGGGAGGATAAATAGGAGATTTGGGTAGGGAGGTAATTGCTGAATGGGGAAAATAGGACTGACCCATGTATCGTTCCTTTAGAAACTTATTTCCTTGCACTCCTTCAGGCCGATCGAGTTCTGTGCTCTGGATATGCTGTAGACCGTGCTAGGAATGGTTCAGCGATGCCCTATCTTGCACGTTTAGCGAGTATGGCGTAGTGTGGAACGTTATCGAATGTTTTGGCCAAGTCCGGAAACATAACGCGGGCTGAATGCGTGTTTTCTCATCTGGTAGACCAGTCATTACGAGTGATCATCACGTTTGTAGCGCATAGCCGTCCAGTTTTGGAGATATTTTAGGCGAGATGAACGATTCTGTCCAGGTAGTCTCGAACGGCATCTGCGACCAGGCTTTCCAGTAACTTGGGTGTTGTGGGAAGTGACGCAGATGGTCTATAGTTGCACGGTTCCTTTCTGTCTCCTACTCCGGAGATTGGTGAAAGGGCAGCAAGCTTCCGTTCCTTAGGGAATTTATCCTAGGCCGTTGTGCGAACACATTGCATACGGGAATCTTCGGTGACTCACAGGACTCCATGGTTTAAAAATTCTTACCATAGAAGGGTCAGACTACGATATCCTTTGGGTTTTTCTGCACTATGCCTTCCTGTAGTGACACCTCAACACCTATAGTGGCAAACAATCCTCCGAACTGAGTAGCCTAGGGTTAGATGAAATTCAGCACTGGCAGTGACCTTGTTCGTTTTGACGAACCCGCCAGCTGAAGGCATACGGTTGAGCGTCTATGCCATTTAACTTATTGTCGCCTTGCAGTGCGTTGCTCTCACGCGATCACTTAGCCACTTTTGTCGGAGCGCATCGGTATATCGGTATGGCTGACCAAATAACCTATTCCGCCTGAATACTCTTTTGTGTCCCT